ACATGTGCAGCAACAGCAACATGCTCAAACTTACCTGCAAATAAGTGACTTTGTCTTCATCTTTGTTCAGCTAACACATCCTTCAGACTCCGTTGGTCAAAATACAGAGGCCACTTCCTTTGGAAAATATACAGCCAGCAATCTTTCATCCGATTCTAACATTCCCATGTTTACCAGCTTTTCCGAGATAGAAAACACACCAGCTTCTTCGTCTTCTTTGGCTGCCGACCTATTTGGCAATGAACACACTGACGGCCGTGGAAAATCCAGTATTGACGGTCAAAATCAAGATGAAGAGATCAGAGGGGCTTCAGCTTCAGAACGCCGTGAAACCGGCGAACGATATGGTACCATCGAAATGCAGAGCCGTGAAAGTCGCACGCAATCATATCCAAAGCCAACTGACGAGCAAGATCGTAAAGCAAGAAAGCAGCATAGAATGAAGCCACTTGATGAGCAGTATAGAGTTTTTAAGAGCCTTGAAGATCCTCAAAAAGTGAGGAAAAAAGGGGAACATACTGAAGCGGAAGATGAGATGAAAGAGAGTGAGGAAGAATCAGAGGGAGTGGAGGATGAAGACGAGGACATAAGTGGATCGGAGCACAAAAGTGGTCAGAGTAAAATATGTAAGTTCTACTTTACCTGTTATATATATATGTGTGTGTGTGTGCGTGTGAAATTTTATGGAAACGTGAGGGTTACTCAGATCATTGTGGGAAAATTCAACTACCATTCTTCCATCAACGTAACGAAATAGAGTGAACAATTCTTATATGGCTGGTCTCGAAAACCTACTTATAAATGAAAAATAATTCCTACTGTTGAAGCCATCTATAGAAATTCTTTAGACTTGTGAAAAAAATATATTTTATTATTTATTATCCATTATTTATTTAATACTTTACCTAGTATTCAGTTTTTTATTTATTTATATAAAAGGAAAGAATTAGCCTAAGTAAAGACACACTCCATGATTATTTGACTTTACTTTCACCTAGAAATAAAGCTTGTTTACAGTAATCGAAACATCTTTCTTAAAGAACAATACACGTTCAACTTTCTAGTTCATTAATTTCGGTTATAGGAATTTTTTCTAAAATTAGCTTCAGATTTCAGCTTACTGCTTTTGGCTAGTCACTTGTGCACTGACAAGATAGACTTGAATTGTAGCTGCTCACAATTATTTGGGGAAGAGGTTAAAAAAATTAAATAGATTTACCCAAATATTCTGTCAAAATAGAATGATATATTTTCTGTCCAAAACAAATCCTTTTTGTGCGATATCTATATTCTTTATGTTCAGCAATCAGCCAGACATTTGATGTTGAACAGTAGAATAGAAGACTCGTACGCGATATCCAGCACATAATAGATTGATTTACATGCTGACCAATAAGTAATCTAGGCCACTGTGACACATTCCAAGGAAATAAAGAATCCTTTTACTTCTGTAAACTGTGATACTGCTGTTCCTACAGTGAGGTGATTTTAATGAAGAATTTCAGTTCGAAGGGAAGTACATTAAGAAGAGATTTGTAGATCAATCACACTAGAAGAGGTCGGCTGATTCGGGTTGTGCTGTAGCCATTTTACCTTAATACCACGTTCAGGTTGATGGGCTCCACGAGACATCCTCCAACGTTTCGTGCTGAGACGGGCTGAGTTGTCGTTCGTGAGGCTACGTAATGAACATCGTCAGAGCTAATAATCATTCTTGGAGAAGCCTCAAATTAACGCTAAATCAAGAGGACTAACCGGCTTATTTCTATTTAATTAATATATATATATATATATACATACTCATTTCGAGCAAAATTTAAGATATAAATGGATATAGAAAATTGTGGTTAATTCAAGTATTTTTAGTGTGTCTCTGTGCGTGTGTATATCAAATTCTGTACGCAAAACCTGCCATTATTCAGAGTGATCGGTAAGGTTCAAAGACCCAAGGAAAACAGAAAAGAAAAAAGGATTACTGAGATTGAATTAGTACGTAAGTAACATTAGCTAAATTGATGGAATGTAAGTCTGTAAACGTTAAAGTTAGGTTATGAAATCACCAGTTGGAACCAGTTAGTCTGTACTAATAGGGCATAATGAACTAAAGAGAAGCTTAGCTGGGATTGCGTAGACGCTCTTGTTTGTTTGGCTGATGAGCTTGACATGAGATGAGATAAGAAGAGATGAGATGTTATGATTAAGGATCAAATGAGATGAGATCAGATCAGATCAGATGAGATCAGATGAGATCAAATCAGATCAGATCAGATCAGATCAGATCAGATCAGATCAGATCAGATCAGATCAGATCAGATCAGATCAGATGAGGTGAGATGAGATGAGATGAGTTGAGTAGATGAGATGTGATGAAAAAAGATGAAAATATATTAGATAAGATT